TTTAATATAGTGAAATCCTAGTTTTCGAGCTAAAAGATGTCAGTAAAGTTCTCATGAGATTCTTTGTGCGAGTTTAGAAGGTGAAATGAGGATATCTTTCAATACTTCATTCCACCCTCCATCCCAAAAAGCGGGATTGTATAAACGGGCACTTGTAATCACCTTTGGAATAATAACCTAGTTGTGAAGGTTAAAATTACTTTATCTTTAATATTTTAATCCGTGATTGCTTTGCCGTTCTACACTGGACACGTTAATTAAAATAAAATAATATACTAATGATCTTATCTTACCGTTGAATGAGAAAAAGAACTTCAGTTTATTCTTGAACATATCAAAGACTTCTCGAATATAATCAAACTGAACTTTAGATATAGTCCTGGAAGCTAAGCAGATGTTCGGGTTTTTAATCAGCTGTGCAGCCATGGCATAAAATGGTCTTGTGTAGAAATCGGTTGGTGGATTCTTGAAGCCCATCAGTCTGTATTGCCATGGACCCAACCCGGGACAGTCACCAGAATAACCGGTCAAGTAACCAGTTTCTATATAATGAGCATACAAACATGAAGAAATTACGTTATAACAAAAGTGATGCTAATAACAGTGCTATACTGGTCAATAAATAAGTGCTATACTGGTTTTCACTGGACGCTGTCGCACAGCAGGTGGTGTTCAACTAGCAGTTATTAGATATTTAACAATTATTCAATGATGTTGAGCATGATATGAAGAATTTTCAAGTCGAAGTTTGTGTCATCAATTATTATACTAATATATGTATAGTTCCGACCAAAACCTCAACAGTTTATATTAATTACCTTTAAGTTGTTTATATATCCACGACCAACCATCAACAGGTTTGGGGTTTTTATGATGACGTCTTGACTCGTGCTGCTCTAGCTCTCCTAGTCCAGTTAACATTGCGGTCAGTTGCTCCGTGGTTCCATCCCCGACTATAGAATGTCCATTAAATAAGATTGATCTAAGCTCGTTTTTAAGATACTTATACACTTTAGGTAATTTTCTTTTCGTATTCGAATGAGACAGTGAATCTACACCAATGATTAAAATGTTCAAAGGGATTCCTGGTTGCTTTTGTGCGCTTTTTTTCAACAGATGTTCATGTGGAACTGGTTGTAGAAAGATTTCTTTAACACGGGTTTTGTTCTTGAGAAAATATTCAACTTCTATAAATTCGTCTGTGATTTTTTTCACAGTATCCATTGCAGGCATAGGAACACTTTTACCAAGAATGAATTTAAAATCTCCTTGCCTGACAGTTCTTCGATAGTTCGCTGAAATGACGGTCGGATCTAAAAGAATGAAAAACATTATAATGCAATGCCAATCAATGATGGGAGGGAAATTTCTTTGACACAACACCCAGCACCACGTTCGAACATAAGTCGTTCCCCAATAAAGTCTAGATATTTGGGATATCACCAACGTGTCGGCATGGCCGGCGTCATGTGGAGCTGATGCTTTCCGGGGTAGAGGGGCAGTTGAAAGTCTGCTCGAGTTTTTATTGAGGATTGTAATCAAATAACTTGAAATTAACGTATTTTCTAATAGATCTGCCAGAATTTTATTGATTTGCTTTATGCTTAGCATTTGGCCGAATTCCATGGTTTTGTAAAGTTCTATGCGTATCCGCTTAAAATGAGAAGGATCTGTGTTATGGACTGGAAAATTTTTGTCCACTGAGGAAGGGTGTCTGCTTGACAGAGGTTTCGACTGTACAGAGGCTTTTGGATGGTAAGCTTTACAAAATGAGCGATGTTTCTTCAGACATGTGCAGGAAAAGGAAAAGTGAGTTAGGTATGTGTGAGCTATAAAACACATAAAGCAATGATGGTGTCAAGATTTCCCTGACGAGGGGATTTATAAGGTCCCCGAGAAGGGGGCGAACATTTAACAGGCAATAAAGTATCGTTATTAGACCGTCTGTTTAACCTAGAAGGGTTTGGTGACATGCACCCCCGACAATTGTTTGTATTTTTTTCCTAATAAATATAAACGCTGTGATTAAAATTATGATTGTGGACAAACAAATTCGGTAGAAAATTCATAACATTGATAAGATTTAATAGTTGTCAACGAAACTTTAATATTCAGTTTCCCGAAAGTGTTGCAATTTATCGCAAAGAACTGTAACAAGCTCTAAGGAAGAACACTTTTAAAGATAAAATACATCTTCCTCTTGTACCTAGTATAGTTACATGTATATCTAGACTGCGAGCAGTCCCTCAGGAGAAGGGAGGGACTTCCGACAACACATCAAGAAACGAAATACGTATTGCCCACACAACGCAAAATTCCCATTGGTCGAAATCGATATGCATGTCAATCAAATCTGATCACACGGGGCTCAACTACTGTCAGTAACAAGTGTAAATTAATCAAAGTAATAAACTTACTTTAAAGATGCTGTAAAGTCCGTAATGTAAACAAACGCTTTGTTTACATTTTGAACTCAGTGTCACTGTTGTAAATGTGATTCTTCTGGTTCGCTATACTTTTAAAGTAATACAGACTAGAGATTCAATTAAAAAAGTTCGGAAGATGCGAAATATTAATACTAAACATTCCAATGGTCGGGACCATTGTCGGGACCCGACCATTGGAATGTAGGCCTGCGCAGAACGTATGCGCAAAACGAACTTTTCAGCATCTTTAAAAGATTTGCATACATTCCACGCAACAAACATCGATGTACTGTTTAATAAACGAGCAGGAGTGTTTTATTAGGTTTAAAGTCACGAGCGCGCAGCGCGAGTGGCTTTAGACCTAATAAAACACGACCTGCGAGTTTATTAAACGGCTTCAAACACGACTACAAATTCAATAGATATCCTGCCTTATTAGTATTCCTTATATAAAGAATACTGATAAGGACACGACTACAATGGGTACTGCCTTATTAGTATTCTTTATATAAAGAATACTAATTAGGAGTGTTTTATCAGGTTTAAAGCCACTGCACGTGACATATTATGGTTGACATGATTTGCCAATAAGCTTATGAATTATTAATGAGTGTTTGAAGAATGTATTGTGATTGTGAACTTTATTTACCCACGGTAGACTTATCAGGATTTTACATAAAAGATGATAAGAGAATACAATATAGTTACAGATTACAGAATATAAAAGTTAATTAAAATACTAATTATGTATACATACTATACTAATACTAATTATATATTACAAGAATACCTGTTTTCCATAAGTGCCGTGCTAATATATTAATATAAAAATCTAAAATTATTGACTAATGTATAAAGTTGCTGCAGTCTGACTTGAATTTACGTAATGAGTTAGACTGTCTCAATTCAACCGGAAGGGAGTTCCACAGCACAGAACCACTATAGCTAAAACTATTTTTCAGGTAATTTGTGCGTGCATGGTTGAGCTAAAGCTAATTTTCTACTGGTGTCTCTCAATGTATAATTTGTTACGCTACTTCGATCAACAAACATTTCAGACAGGTAGTCTGGCACAAAACCATTAAGAGATTTATAGACCATTATAGCTTTGGCAATTTTTCGCTGAGATTCAAGGTTTTTCCAGCTCAATTTTTCAATTAGATATTCAGCATTTGTATCATAACTAGATGAAGTAAGTACTCTAGCGGCTCGATTTTGGAGTTTTTGCAGTTTATTCGCAAGAGTACTGCCGCAACTATCCCAGACAACGCAACAATAATCGAAATAGGGTTGAACTAAGCAATTGTAAATAAGTTGCATTGTGGAAGGTGGGACAAATGGCCTTATACGCTTTAATGCACCTATGCCAGAAGCGACTTTTTTGCATAATTTCTCGATATGAACATTCCAAGTCAAGTTCTCGTCTAAATGTACACCAAGTGACTTTGTGTGAGAGACTTGTTTAATTGGTACGTCATTTATTGTCAGTGAAGGACTAGAGTTGAAAGTACTAATCCTTTGACGGCAGCCGATTAGCATAAATTCTGTTTTAAATTGGTTTAAAGTAAGTTTGTTGGCTACTAACCACTCACTGACTTTAGCAAGATCTTCGTTGAAGTGATGATCAATGTCATCAATATCGTTACTTGCGTAAGTCAAATGAGTGTCATCTGCATACATGCGTGCACGTGAGTAAGAGAGGCAATTCGGGAGATCATTGATATACAGGGTGTCTCAAAAAAACCGCTACCCTTAGAAATTCACCATTGTTCTAATTTGAATGCCTGAACCTTGTTGAAGCCCTGAATGCGTAAACATTTTCACAGCATGCATATATTAAAGATCTTCGGAATTAAAATATCCTTAAAAAGCGAAATTTTTTATCCTGAGAATTGAAAGTAGGTTCATACAAAAGTATAACTGCACGAAAATCGTTCAATTACATATTAGTGAATGTCAAGCAAATGGCTCAACTGAGCACAGAGCAAAGAGTATTTATTGTCTTATTGTCCATTCAAATTGTTCATGCACCCATGAGTTCAAGATAGCACTCAGGCATTCAAATTAGAACAATGGTGAATTTCCAAGGGTAGCGGTTTTTTTGAGACACCCTGTACAGGGTGTACAGGGTGTCTCAAAAAAAACCAAAATCATTGAAATAACGTATTGTTCGAATTTCAATGCCGTAACACAAAGGATTTTGACAGGGTGATTAATTTGTTTTAAAAAATTAAAATATCTTTGTAAAGTGAACGTTTGTTTGCTCATGGGAATTTTAAAATGCTTCGTAAATTCGTGGGTTTAGTACTTTATGCCTGACATAACAAGTTTACGCTGAGTATTACCATTCATTATAGCAGTTATGTCAATCTTTTATGCACTCGTGGGATTAACTTAGTGCTAGGGCATTGAATATCGAACAATACGTCAATTTCAATGATTTTGTTTTTTTTTGAGACACCCTGTATAAAAAAAAACGCAACCTCGGAATTTCCCAAGAAATCGACAGGGTTTTAAAGACAAAAGATTTTAGGCGCCTGGGAATTTAAAATGTCAAAATTATTGCACACGCGAGTGCATAAAGCAAAATTTATGCATTTACTATTTAATGCACAACAACAGTAGTAAGATCTATTAGCAATTCGATTTCAATTCCCAGGGGCCTAAAATCTTTTATGCTTAAGAATTGCAAAGTGATTTCTTAGGAAATTTTATGCTTAAGAATTGCAAAGTGATTTCTTAGGAAATTCCGAGATTGCGTTTTTTTTATACACCCTGTACAGGGTGTATAAAAAAAAACGCAACCTCGGAATTTCCTAAGAAATCACTTTGCAATTCTTAAGCATAAAAGATTTTAGGCCCCTGGGAATTGAAATCGAATTGCTAATAGATCATATTACTGTTGTTGTGCATTAAATAAATGCATAAATTTTGCTTTATGCACTCGCGCGTGCAGTAATTTTGACAGTTGTGCTATTTTAAATTCCCAGGCGCCTAAAATCTTTTGTCTTTAAAACAATGTCGATTTCTTGGGAAATTCCGAGGTTGCGTTTTTTTTATACACCCTGTAGATTAAGAATAAAAGTGGCCCCAGAATAGTTCCCTGGGGAACTCCGCAACGGAGTAAACGATTTGTCGAAAAATGACCATTGACGAAACATTTTTGTTTCCGTTCACTGAGATATGATCTGAACCAGTTGCCAGCAACACCATTGATGCCATATGAATTTAGTTTTCCTAAAAGAATCTCGTGGTCTACGGTATCAAACGCCTTCCTGAGGTCGAGAAACAGGACAGCATTTACGCTTCCATGCATGATCGATATTATAAGCCCAATCGTTAGTGGCCTCAAGAAGGGCGGTAACAGTAGAATGTAGACCACGAAATCCCGACTGACAATTAGTTAACAGACTATTTTCAGATAGAAATAAATACAGCTGATCATAAATTATCCTTTCGAAAACCTTAGCCACTACCGAGACAATGGAAATCGGACGTTTCCCTTGTTTGTGTATTGGGACAACTTTAGCGTGTTTCCACTCATCTAGGAATACTCCGGAGACAATTGATCGATTAAAAATGTAGCTAAGAGATTCCGCTATTAAATCAGAGCACTCTCGAAGTAGGCGGGACGAAATTTTGTCCAGACCAGTAGCTTTTGACCTACTTAGCTTGGACAAAAGGACGAAAACTGCAGAGAAATTAGTTTCTTTTAATTGAAAACGGATGTTGTTATTTTGACTAGGTAAATAATCGAGATAACAACGATTATTCTGATTAACATCTACATTATCTGCAAGCTTCGGACCAATGTTAGAGAAGTGTTCATTAAAAGCATCAGCAATTTTGTTGGAATCGTTAATCAAATTACCATCCAAATCAACTTCGTGAATATGCGAGCTTTTTCGATTTTTAGATGTGAGATCATTAATAATATTCCAGGTCTTTTTCGAATTGGATTTATTTTCAGAAAACGCACGTTTAAAATAGTTTTCCTTCGCCCGGGCAATATTTTGATTTACGGAATTTCGCATTTCTTAAAAATATGCCAATCTAAAGAATCATTAGACCGGATTGCCTTGATTTTAAGAATATCTCTTTTGTGCATTTCACCTTTCAAGTGAGATGAAATCCAAGGCGCTTTAGAGGCCTTGACACGCTTTGTGCGTAAAGGAGCATTTTTCTACAACAAAATTAAATGTGTTTTTCCAAGTATGCCACATATCATTAGGATTCTTAAATTGATGGATAAAGTCCCAGTTTTGCTGACTAATATCATTACGGGATTTGGCAGAATCGAAGTTTTTAAACTTTCTATAGCTTACTGTAGTATGCCCTCTTGTCGGCATTCTGGCGGAAAGTTTTCTAAAGGTATAAACAAGACTATGATCACTTATACTAATGTGAGAAACACCAGAGCAGACCACTCTATCAGGAGCGTTTGTAAAAATGTGATCTATCAATGTTGACGATGAACTTGTAATTCGAGTTTGTTCAGTTATCAGTTGTTGAAGATCGAATGTTTCAGCAATATCAATGAGCAACCTTGAACTATGATCCAAGACTGTAGAGCTTAAATCACAATTCAGGTCACCCACCAGATAGTACTCAATATTTTCAGCATCAAGTTTGCCTAGTAACGTTTCTAGGTGATTAAACTTATCCACGACCGAATTTGGTGGCCTATACCATGTCACTATAAGAAAAGGCTTAGATCTAGGTTTATTGATTGAAATGCATAAATTTTCCAATTCATCAAATTTCAAATCGTATCGTACCGAAAAATTAATGCAACTTCGTATATAAAAACAAACACCACCACCGCATCTACCGTTTAAGTATCTATCGCGGCGAACAATTTCATAACTTTGTATGTGCACCTCATTATCGCTAACCGCAGAATCAAGTCTTGTCTCATTGATAGCCAAAACATCAATAATATTATCGGCTAGAAAAATTCGAAGTTCCTCAATGTGTTTTACTAAACTAGTTATATTAAGTGACGCAATTTTGAAACCACTCATCTTAGGTAAAAGCGGATTTATGTCGCTATTAGTATTAGAATTGA